AAAAATGAATTATATAGCCTACATTTCTCAAACATAACATAAAAAAATTAACATTTCTAAATAATAGTTTATTCATTACCCCATTCAATCTCAAGCCCCACCACATTTTCTTTTTTATTTCACTGGTGCTCGGAAGTCCTCATTTACCACACAAAATTGGAGGTAGAAAGCTTGTCTTTAGTGTAAGTGAAGAAAAAATGAGAAAAGAATTAAAGGGCAAAGAAATACAAAATCTTTCCCTGATGACATCATAGGACCTGCCACTATTCTCAACATTTTAATAAAATATCAATCAGCAAAGAGGAAGAGATAGATTCCTGCAGGAAAGGTAAAACCTGCCTCAATCCTTATCCAAAACTGCTGCACTCACACAGGGGGCCATCCTTGCCTCTCAACACTTCAAGCCTCTCCTTCAAACAGCAATCCTCTCCCAGGCCTAGCAGAGGGCTGAGCCTGGGCAGCCCTCACTCCCAATGCCTGGAGCCAAAAAAGGTTTTAGGAGTGCCTGCTGTGACTGTCAGCGCTGCAGTCAGAGGGAAGGTACTCCCCTAACATTCTAAACATGAAAAATAAATATGCTGCTATAAATAGCATCTGAATTCTCTAACACAAGTATTTAAGTACCATACGCTGTAAATAGGCTAAGCATCATTTGTAGCAATAGAAGAGTAGGTTTTTATGTGAAAACCAACTTACAAACTAACTTGCCCTAATAGTTTATAATGCTAAAGACCACCTCCATGTAAAATTCTACATCTCTAGATAAAAACTGAGGACACTATTCCTATTCAACAGGACTAACAAAAACTACAGATTTGTGGGGCTGTTTGGAGGGGGTCCTTTTCTTCCTTCAGTAAGGTCTAAACAATGTTTTTAGATGTTGTGACATTATTTAATGAAAAATAGAAATTAGCCAGTAGTTAAGGATACATACTTTGTTCAAAATGTAGTAAGGGTTTAATACACACACATATATATTACATTTTATAAATAATCTATAATGTTTGGCTTTGTTTTTGTGGCTGTTTTGTCATATAAAAAAAAACAACATAGTAAGGGTTGTTACATGTATATCAGACTAAAAAGTGACTTAGTCTTTAAGAAGAAAAATATTTATTAAGTACTATTTCTGACATTCACTGTGACAAATCTCAAAATGTTAATAAAACAGCTATTTAAAGTTCAAAGAGCACTCTAAGAGCTGCCAAGGAATTAATAGCTTAAACTACCAAATAAGAGTCACAGTTCAGTTTCCAATGTCAGCCAGTCATAGTTCAGAATTGGTAGGGCAAAATCACTCAGCATATTAAAGACACCAGGCAAGTATGAATCACACACAAATGAAAAGTTGTAACATCTTAAGATGAACTTCAAGTTTTTCTTCTCAATCACTGCTTATTTATGAGGACAGACACAAGAACAATTTAATCTTCTGCTTACCCCAAAAAACGAATAAATACAACTTAACTACTATATTTAACACAAGTAATTTTGCCACTCCAACTTCCTGGTAAACTGCCCAAGGCTACTCTAAGCTTTAGATGTAATTTACTACATAGAAGTTTCTTCCTATTAAAGAACATTATCAAGTCTTACAAAGTGCTTTCTTTAAAAGGTACTCATAAAGTGATTTTTCACACTTTCTGCCTTCCATATTTCTGTCAAGTTTACAGAAGCAGAAACTGAGGCAAAAAATAAAAATAAAAACATTATGCGACCAACCTGATCTGAATAGTCACTCGTAAATTAACTGAATGCCATTCAATTTTCCTTATTACCAGTTCACTGCCCGTATTACTGGGCTCATGGAAAATAATCTTATAACTGAAGGTTGAGCAAAAGCTCTCCTCCTTATTCAGCTTTAAAAAAATGGAAATGAGGGAATTCTGAATCAAAACCCAAACAAAATTTCCAACAGGCTCCAATATCTATAGATTGCCTAACAAATAGAAAATCTAAATACTAACTGAATTCCTATTCCTTTGAGGTCTGATAAGCATACCTCGTCTCTTGATCAGCTGGATTCTCTTTAATAAAGATTTTCTAGAGCTCACCTAAAATATTACCAAGCCACAATACATAAATCCTAGATAATCTAAATTCAGAACCCGGCCTAAACTTCTAAATAAGTTCAAAGAAAAACAATTATGATCAGGACCTAAATGGGCAATGAAAATTCCTTTAGGGAGTAAGATGAAGAAAACAAAAATAGTTGTCCAGCAAATAATTAATTTAAGGAACAATTAATGAGCACCTAATTATGAAGAGAATGCAAAGATGATTTGGACAGGGTCACTGCCCTACAGAAGCTCATCTACTTATCAGAGGCATAGAGAAGGAGATACACACACATCAGGAGCAAGAGTGACTAGTTCTACCTGTGGGAGTCAGGGAAAGCTTCACGGAGGAGGTGATATTTGACCTACTTAAAAGATGAGCAGGATTGTGCCAGGCATATAGGTTAAAAAAACAAAAACTATGAGGTGGTCCCTCCGTTAGATAATGTATGTTTCCCTTATCTCTCTCTCTCTCTCTAGGACATTAAAATTCAATCATGAGAATTGCCAACACAAAATGTTTTTACACACCAATTATACTCTTTTGAATACCTTACTTATTAGTTCTCAAATTAAGCCCAGATGGATTTAATCATCTATGCTATTTAATGAAATGAAATAATGTGAAACTATGTGAGAAAACCATGTGTCTTATATAAAAATTACTTCCTCGGGAATTTATCAATGTTCTTTGGGTTTTAAAAAAAAGTCACACCCTTTTAGATACGGTCTTTGAAATCTTCACTCAATATTATAAAATTCCTGTTCACAATTAATTACTTTTAAACAAATCATTAACTCAAATTTAATTTTTGGCCCTGGCCAGTTTCGCTCAGTGGATAGAACATGTACTGGTCAAGAGCATGTACCTCAGTTACAGGCTCCTCCCAGGCCTGGCCCTGGTCTAGGAGTGTGCAGGAGGCAATCAGTGGATGTGAAAATCAATGGAAAAGTGTCAAAAAAAAAAAAAAAGTATTAAATGTAACCAATTAATGCAATAATACAAGTTAAGACTTAGACTTATTATAGTAAAAAGGTCTAGAAAAGACTGAGAAAAAGCTATTTACCTACAAATATACCTAATTTTCCTTATCTTCCCTTTTTCATTTTTAAGTTGACATTGCAAAGTTAAACTATGCAAAATAAAGACACAAATGAAATTTCAATATAATCATCTCAGGAGGTTCCATTAACAGTAATGGAATTCTTAGTACTAGAAAAAGTACAAAATGTAGAGAGCTGTCAACCAGGGCTCTGTGCTGTTTCACAGTAGTAGAAATACAGTTTTAATAATGTTCTAACACAATTCACCTAGAATGAGAAAATAAACATTCATGAATACACATAATAAACCAGAGTGTGGAAATGCCAATGGCAAAACATTTTCCTTTGGACACAACTGATTCTCCTAAATCTCATCCAGAATGAAAAGGAAAAAAGTCATCTTTCTCCTTTTTTCAGACTGAAACCTAAATGTACTCTAAAAGTTATATAATTAGCTTAAAGAAAAAAAATTACTCCAACAAAAATAACTAAAAAATACTAATAAAAATGTGAATAAACCCGGTGTTCCTATAAGAGAAGACTACTATAGCCAATTTATGAGGATAGAATCTATTCCATACTACAGATGATTTTAAAAATCAAATAACAAAATAATATAGTGGAGAACTATCTCTGAAATAAACACGAATCACAACATTTTTACAGATGTTAAAGCTATGTTTATATCAACTAATGCAAATATAGAAAACTATGCTGATGTACATAGTGACTTTATACTAAACAAAAGTTGGGCAAACATACATATTTCATTCATGCAAATGAGTTGAATTTACAATTCCTCATTTATGTTAATATTTACCAAGATTAATGGAAAATCATCTCCCCTAGGTTATGAAGTGAATTCCCTCAACAGAACAAAGCTGACACCTTCAAATCTTTTGAATAAACAATGAAAGGACATACTATAAAAGGAAATATCTGAACAGGATTAGAAAGAAGTTAAATGATAGAAGAAGGAAAAAAAAAAAAAAAAAAGCCCTAAATTCCAAGAACACATTACAAATATCGATTGTTTAATTCCAAAACTCTAAGCAAGTCCTATGAAGCAAGTGTGCATGTGTGTGAATTCTTTTTTAAACTCTTCTCCACAGCACATTGAGACTACCCAGTTACCGCACTTTGCAATGCATTAAATGTAATTTCTCAAAGTTCATAAAATGACAGGATTGAAATTCTGGTAGCTAACACTACACAACACATAGGTTGGAAAGCAGACTGGCACAAAGTGCATTTTAAATAAATGACACTAATAGCAATGTTACAGAAATCATTGTTTTCCACTTCTAACAAATGGCTGCAATGCACAGTTCAGTAATAATAAAACCTAATATTCAACTATAATACTATTTCTCATAAACTTTGTCTAATCTCCCTCACTGGCTAGCATCTGTGAAAAAGGATGTATCACCCACTTTCAGAATGAAAAAAGCACACTTTCTACTACTAGTTTACAGAAGAAAAACATTGTTATTTTCTTCTATCAAAAATAACTCAAATCTTTTGAAAAAAAATATCCAGTCTATCTTTGAATCAAACTTGAAGAGATAGTTGAATTGACTGTTCCAGAAACAAAAATCCAAATCAATAATCTTATTACTATTTACATTGAGTTTCATCTTAATTTTAAATAACTTGACAAATAGAACTATAGAATGTACTTATCTTCTGCAAATGGCTATAACTAGTGACAGTGTATCTTTTCCCTAACCTCAAGAATAGAGATCTCTGAAAATGTTTGATGAATACAATTAACTCACAATTAAGGAGGCTAAATTAGCCAGTGAACAAAAAAGATTAATCAATTTTCCCATAAGTAATTAATATAATCCACACTATACCTTAATGTTACTCAAAGGAATGTCTGAAGAGACTTTTTTCCCTAATAAATACCTAATACAATCATGAAAAATATGACCAAAACATTCCCAAGAAAATGCTAAATTATCTAAGCACCTGGCAAAAAATCAACACTCATTGTCCTAAAAGCATCAGTCGCCACCTTTATTCTTCCAAGGTCGCCACCTTTATTCTCCCAAAGAACAGATCCCACCTAACTTCCTCTCAATGAGCACTTCAAGCAGTAACACAGCAACATTCTGTATAGCACAGAAATCTTCGGTACATTATTTTCTCTTTAAAATTATGAACCCATCACACGTACAAATGGCTCTTTAAAATGGTCCAGTAAACTGCTACACTATGCCTTAAATTGCTGTCTATTATGTACTTAAAAATATTTACTAGCAATTGGAGGTTATATGGCAACTATTATTACTGTGTGACAATTATTGCTATTAAAAATATATAAATACTGTAACACCATGTGCTACTAACAACAAAAGGCGAAACAGAAAACACACATTAGCAAGTTATAAACATTTTCATTAAAAAAAATGAACCATCATGGGGCAAGAAAAGATGTTTTAAACGTAAATACTAAAATTGGAAATTGGGATGAAAAAAATACCCTGTGTATATATTTTAGCACTTGAGAAGATTAGAGAAATCATTCCCTTTTCCTCATTTTCAATTGACAGCACTCCCCATTTGGTTCTAACTCAAAAGAATAGATCTCAAAGTTTACAACTATTTTCTTTCTGCAAAAACATAAATCTCTTAAGGAAAACAGTAACCAGGTTACCAACAACTTAAAACATAGAATTAATGGTCCTTGATAGGAATTAATTACTAATGTGTTTATGTGCATTGCAATTCAAGGAGGAAGAATTTGATATTACCCAATTACCCCATAGTCAGGGAGATTCTAAGCAAATAAAATAACATGAATGTAGACTATACATACCTAAGAATTAGACTGCCTCATGTTAAAGAGCATATACTTAAATCTAGTTAAAGGACACAAAATTGCTTTTCTCCATATCATCTCAATAGAGAAACATAACTAAAGAAACGAAACTAAAGATATACTTATATCTGGAAATTATGTGTCTTCCCACAAGGGCGGCTTGACATATCATAGGATGCACTGTTGCAACACTTTCCAAAAAGACAGATTTAACACACTGAGCTGAATTATAACTGAGTGACTATATAACAAGTCTCCCAGAAATGTGATGGACAGCATGGGAAAACAGTTTGGAGTCACAAAGGCACAGCCATGCATGTATTTAATGCAGTAGCTACAAACCTCACAACAGTAAGAATAAGAAACACACACAATGACCCATATCATGTATACACAATGGCTTTTTCACATTAGGAAAAGGGGGCAGGGGTTGACAGAGAATTTAGGAAATCTGACACCACAGAAACTGATGTAGAAAAATCCGAAAGCAAAATAAGTAAAGAACTAACAAAAATCTTAAGGCATCTGATTGCAAAATCATTGTTTGCTAAACCATAATGAACTAAAGGTAATAGAAAGTGGTTGGGTGATTAGTATGGTACAGACCTTTAATCTCTAGTTTATACTTCAATTCGCATTAATATGAATGTCTAGTTAAATTCTCTATAACCAATACTTTGTTCAAAAAGCTGCAGGCCATAAAGAAAAATATATGCTATTAATAAGTACATAGAGTTCTTACAATGCATGCTTTATTTTGACCAGGTGATGATTTTATCCTTTTAGAATTAACTATTCTATACAATGTACTTTAGGCAACATATTTTTTATATTCCAGGTTGCTGCTGTATGTAATTTTCAAGAAAAATTCTCAATTTAGAAAGAGAAAATTTTATATTTATCAGCAGCTTTCTAAAAGACTAGTATTTTTTTAATTAGCATCTTATTCATTCCACATACAAGAAAATGTAGATATTTTAGTCTTTTCAAAAAATTCACCCCATGCAGCCCTGCAGTTCTGCATTTCCAAGTTGCTACCTAAAGAGTAATTCTGTTTAAAAAAAAAAAAAAAATCAATTCCTGGTTTAAAGAGGTTCAGGAGAGGAATACCCAAAGCTCTTAAAGCAAAGAATCCTTCTCCCACAAAACTGTTTCTCCAAAAGAATCTCAACACCACGTCTCATAACATTATAATCCTCACTTTAGGTTTAAAAAAAAAAAAAAAGAAAAAAAATGACACGTCCTAAAGAATTGCTACACATGTAATATACTTGCATTCATCTACAAAACCTACTGTATATAAATCAATCACATATACACCAGCCTCTACCAGTCAGCATGATATATGGTAATTTGGAGGATCTCTCTTCACTAATATTGGTCTACTTGGTTATTTTAATTACCTGTTAAAGTGTCAACGTGGTCACCAGACGCCAAACAAAAACCATTTTAAATACCACTTAATCAATACATTTGCTAATCTATGAAAGTCCCAGAACCTGACTGATACTAAATGACAGACTGAAAGAGAGAAAAGAGGAAACAAAATGCGTTTTATTCTCATATATCAGAAGATTAAGGGAAACCATCACAGCACTGAGAAAAAAATCACAACTTATAACTGAATTTTAAGATTAAATGTCTTAATAAAAATGTTGAGAGGGAAACTGACCTGATCTCATTATTATAAAAGCAAGGATACTGTGTCACTCAGTCTTTGTAGATAAAAATCGCATGTTTTGATTTTTTATCTACATAATTAAACATATTTAATAAAACACATTTGAAAAGTTGGCAATTGTTTGTATTTCTCCCCTAGTCTTAAAAGAAAAAAAAAAGCCTCTATGCTACCCATAATTAAATGTAGCTAATTACAATTTGAACACTAAATTATTTACCCAGTGCAAACAACGATTAAAAAGAAACAATGTTTTATCTACGGCAGGGGTTACACAAAACAATTCCCAAAATGCATGCTGTCCAAAAGGCAGTCCCCCCCAACAAGGGTACACAACTTAAAATAAGTTGTTTTTTTAAGGCTAAATTAAACAAACCGTTTCGGCCAATTTTCCAATTATATTCTACGCTTGAGACGTAATTGCCTTACATCTGTTTACAAATCCTTGCTCAATATTTAAACAAATCCGTAGTGTCTCGGGCACATAACTATACATACAGTAACTCGGGCACAAAGCACATGGTTAAAGACCACGCACTGCAATTATTAGCCCAAACGCCAGGTTTAACAACGCGAATGTTTTCAGAGCTTAGGTAATACGACCCAATAAAAAAGCAAAGATGGCATTTACCACCAAATGTCACTTGCCACCGCCAGGGAAGAGTTGCTGGAGCCCCATACATTTTTAATTTCCGTGAACCTAGATGCCGCCGTCGTGCCGTCGGGTGCCAAGGCTTCCGAGGAGAACAATTGACACCCTAACTGCTTCAAGATTAAGGCCGGCGATTCAAATCCCAAGGAAAAGTTGTCAATTATCAGGGAGAGAGAGGGAGCGCGAGCGGGGCGAAGGCAGATAAAAGCGATGTTATCAAACCGCCCAGCTTGTTGCTTTTTGTGTGTGTATGTGTGTGGATTCCTTGTTAGGGTAGAGAAAACAGTTTTTAAAAGGCACAGGAGGAGAGAAAGAAGAAAAAGGAAAAAAATTTTAAAAAGGTTTCTCCACCTTCCGTCGGCTCGGGGTAATGGCTTTACGGCTCTCCGGCGTAGTAAGCGCCCTGCGAGGCCGGCGGCTGCCGATGTTTACAATCCAGGGAGCTCCCGGTGCAAGAGTCCTTTTACCGACACAATCGCGTTCAATCAACTGTTTTCGGGCGCGGAATCGCAGGTGTCATTATGGAATTTGTTTAAAAATGCAAAAGGCGGGCGGCCAAGGCAGCCGATCCGACCGGGGTTCGGAGGAGGGGGAGGAGGAAGAGAAGGCTGCTGATCGCAGATGCGGGCAGCAGCGCAGGGCACAGCTTTTCGCGTTTCGGGGGACGAGACGGGGGCGCGGGGAGGGGACGGGAAGGGGGGGGGGGGGGGGTTGCGTGTGATCGCAGCGGAGGGTGGGCGATCGGAGTGCGACCCAGCACCGGCGGCGTCGAGACTTCCACACGCAGATTCCAAGCCGAGCGAGCGAGCGAGCGCCGCCGCGCTCACAAACGATTTTTAAAGAGCCAAATAAACACTGGACGGCGTCCAAGGCGAGGGCGAGACGATCCAAAAGGGGGAGAATCATCAGCGAGAGGAGAGGCGAACGGCGGGGAGAGGCAGGCGAGGGAGGGGCGGGCGACGTCCCGGCGGCGGGAGGAGAAAGTTGGTCGGCGGCGGAGGTCGGGGACCCCCCCTCCCCCCGGCGCGCCCCCCACCCCCCCGCCCCGCGGCCCCGCTACTCACCAGCGAGAAGAGGTTGGAGTGACAATCCTCCAGGCTCGCCCCGTTCGCCACCCAGTTCGCTGCCGCAGTCATGATCCTCCGCGAGCCCGGCCGCCAGAGCGGGGCATGTCGGAGCGAGGCGTCCGAGGCGAGGCCGGGCCGGGCGGCGGCGCCTCGCCGGGGAGCGCGGGGCGGCCGGGCCGCCGCCGCCGCCGGGGAAGGGCGCGAGGGCCGGCGGGCGGGCCGGCGGGAGGCGCCGCGGCGGCGACGCCGCGCCGGGGGCGGCGGGCCCGGGCCGGCGGGGCGGCGGGGGGGTCCGCGGCGGCCGCGCGGCTCCTTCCTGCTCGGGCGGCGGCGGCGGCGGCGGCGGCGGCTCCCGCGACTCCGGCGGCGGCGGGGGGCGCTGTCCGCGCGGCCCGGCGCCCTCCCCGCCTCTCAGGGCCGCCGCTGGCTCTCGGGCTGGCGCTGCGGGCCGGCCGCCGCCTCCGCCTTCCCTGTTCCTCAGCCGCCGCCGCCGCCGCCGCCTTGTTTATCTCCAGCCACCGACTCCCCCTCGGCCCCCGCCGGCGCGTGAGGGGAGGCGAGCCCCGAAGCCGCCGCCGCCGCCGCCTCGGAGCCGCCGCCGCCGCCGCTGCGGAGCGCGAACTCGCGAAGGGGGGGGTGCGGACGAAGCCAGCGGGCGACCCCGGCAGCCGAGCGACGTCCCCTCCTTCCTCTTCCTCCCCCACCCCCCCCTCCTCCCCAGTCAGCCTCGCTTCTCCTCCCTCCCCGGGCTCGCTCGCTCTGACAGCAATGGCGGCCGCCGACCGCGGCTCGGCCCGCCATTGGCTGGCGGCGCGTCACGTGACGGGCGCCGGCCGCGCGGGGGGGCGGCGGGCGGGCGGGCGGGGGTGGGGCCGGCGCGGCGGCGGCGCGGCGGCGGCTCGCGGGCGGCGCTGCTGAGCCGCTCGCGGCCAGACTCTCGGGCCGGGAGCGGGAGGGAGGGAGGCGGAGTGGGAGAGAGAGAAAGGAGTGCGGGCGGCGCCGACCGACCCGAGGCCGCCGCGGGCTGCCCTGCGCGGCTGCGGCGGGGGCCCCGCCCCCTCGGAGGGCACCGATCTTTCGGGGACGCGGCCGCGAGCCCCGGGAGAGCTGGCGGCGACTGCAGCGAAAGGTTCGGGTCCCCCCGCGCGAGCCCCCGACCGACGCAGGCGGGCTGGCGCGGCGGGGGCTCCCTGCGGGCCGGGCAGCCAGTCCCAGGGCCCGGGGGGAGGGAGGGGGGAGTGTCTCGTGGAGGTCGCGCTACGTGGACCGCGTCTGCAGAGGAGAAAACTGAAGCACAAAGAGATGAAGCCACTTGCGGAGGTCGCACGCCGGGAAGAGGAGCAGGCGGAATTCGAACCCCTGCACAGTGGAGCCCTGCTAGCCCTTCTTGCACTGATAGGTTTTATCAGCCTGGCCGGGCGATGTTTGGCGAGCGCTTACTGTGTACGAGGCACCAGGCGCCGAATACAGAAATGCAAGCCCTTACTCCAGAGTGTGCATGCATGCATGCATTCATTCACCGCATACATCTGTCCGGAGCTCCTGCTACGTGCCAGAAGGCGCTCTAACTGCCAGGCACCGCACCAAGGCCGTGTAGGGAGCAGACCCTCCTTCTTGGCTCTGTTCATTCAATAACAAACATTTCCTGAGAGCATAAGGGCTGGGAGTCCAGGGCAGAGGCTTTCCCAGCACGCGGGGCTTCTGCTCCCTACAGAGGTGGAGAGGACAGGACAACTTCATTAACAAGCCCCCAACGCGGAAGAGCCAGCTGTTCCAGGCAGGTTGGACTCAAAGAGAGAAGAGTAGAAAATAAGGGGGGGGGGGGGGGATGGAGTGCAACAAAAGTCTTACCCCTGTTAGCTGAGCTTTGGGACTACCACAGATAACCGCTAAAGCAGAACGCATGAGCCATGTGTTATCACGTGTATTATCATCATGGCCGATACTATGTTACACCCCGCTGAGTCTGTGATAACGAATATCCATACATTATTTCACATAAGCTTCAGAGCAACCACATACAAAAGATACTGTTACTGTGCTTAGAGTCTTAGACTAGAATACCTCGAGTCTCAGAAGTGCAGTGACATGTCCAAGCTCAAACCGGGTCTGGCTAGCTCCAGAGCCCAAGCCTGAACCCAGAAGGTTCCAAGAGCAGGTGCCTGCAGTTGGCTTGGGCAACTCTGGTCACATTCCCTTGACCCATACAGCAGCCCCTCCTTATCTGCAGCTTCACTCTCTGTGGTTTCAGTTACCCGCGGTCAACCACAATCCAAAACTAATTAAATGGAAAAATTCCAAAAATAAACAATTCAAAAGTTGTATTTTTATTTATTTGTTTATTTCTGTTCATCCTCACCCAAGGATATTTCCCCATTGTTTTTTTTTTTTTTTTTTTTTTTAGGGAGAGTGGGAGAGAAAGGGGAAGACAGAGAGAAACACTGTTGTGAGAGAAACACATGGATTGGTTGCCTCCTGCACGAATCCCTACCAGGGCCCAGGCCGGCCGGGGAGGACCCTGCAATCAAGGTGCGTGGAATCAAACCCCGTACCCTTTGGTCCTGAAGCCGGCGCTCTTATCTATCCACTGAGCCAAACCGGCAACAACGCATGCGTTGTAAATCGCACACTGCACCCATCTGGAGTAGTATGATGAAATCTCTTGTCCCCCATCCTGTCCTGCCCCTGACAGGAATCATCCCACTATCCATAGTGTCCCATTATCAGAGAGAGAAACCACATTCACGTAACTTGAATTACAGTATATTGTTATAGTTGCTCAAAATTATTAGTTATTATTGTTCATGTCTTACTGCGCCTGATTTCTGAAATAAACTTTATCTTAAGAATGTGTGTTTAGGAAAAACATAGTATCTATAGGGTTCAATACTACCTGTGATTTCAGGTCTCCACTGGGGGTCTTGGAATGTATCCACCGTGGATGGGAGTGACGGGGAACACTGTTGCTTAATTCTCTGAGCCTCATTTCCTACTCTGTGAAATTAGAGATCCCAATTGCTGACCCATCAGTTGCCTCCACAGAGGGTGGAGCCCTCATGTTGAGGTTAGTGCCCTTGTAAGCAGAGAGGTGATGAGAGAGATTGCTTTCCCTCACCCCCTAAGCAAAGACATCACCAGGAAGAGGGCCCTTTCCAGGAACCAAGTCAGCCAGACCCTTCATCTTGGATTTCCCAGCCTCTACAACTGGGAGAAACACATGTCTATCATTTAAGCCACCTGGTCTATGGTCATTTGTTACAGCAGCCCGAGAACACTGAGACTCTCATCACACGAAAAACGGGAGCTAAAACGATAAGTATTGGCAATATTTTAAAAGCTTAGGCAAATGTGGAGGGAAGCAGGACTCTCACACAGTCGGTGGAAATATAAATTAATACCACCGTTTTGGGTGTCAGTTTGGAGAATATCAAAATAGATAATGCACATACCTCATGCCCCAGCAATTCTACTTGTAGAGATGTATAAAGTCAAAGCACTTTATCAACATGCACTTTACCAACAACAATAATAACTAATAATTCTGAGCAACTCCACGAATACTTGTACAGACGAATAAAGACCTGTCAGTGTCATGAACTATAGCCCTGTTTGCAGGGCACACCCCGGAAGCAATCTACAGGCTCATCCTGTGGGGAGTAGTTAACAATCAGATTTAATCCCAGGGAGCCATTAAAAATAATGAGCTAGCACTGTGTATACCAAGTAATATATTATAGGACAATCTCAAAAATAGATGATTGAGCTATCCCTGGAAGCTAAGGAGACACTAGAAACACCAGTCGCCTTCACAGACAGGAATCAGGGTGGGGAGAGGGATTATTTCTCTCTCTCTTTAATGTTTTTCTTCATTTTTAGAGAGAGAGGAAGTGAGAGGAACAAAGAGAAACGTCGATGAGAGAGGAACATCAATGACCAGCTATTTCTTGCACACCGCACACAGGGAATCAAGCCTGCAACCCAGGTACGTGCCCCAACCGGGGATCGAACCAGCGAACCCCTGGTTCCGCAGTCAACGCTCAACCACTGTCCCACAGGGGCCGAGGCTATTTGTCACTATACTGTCTCCTTTCCTTTCTACCTCCCTCCTGTTCTCCCTCTTTCCTTCCCTCCCTCCCTCCTTTCTTTCCTTCCTTCCTTTTGTTCCTTTCTTCCTTCTTCTTTCCCTGCCTCCCTCCCTTTCTTTTTTTTTTTTTTTTTTTACCAAATGTGTATATTATGTAATGAGTTACGAACA